AAGAAGACGAAGAAAGGGAAACTAGGCGGCAAGAACGCGATCTGAGAAAATTAGAGCTGGAAGCAAAACTGCTGAAGCAGAAAGAAGCTATTGAAGCCGCCAAGAGAGAGCATGAACTAGAGCTCGCTCGTCTAGCGTAAGGCCGTAACGATACCGAACGTGCTGAAGTGAGAGAGGATAGGGCCAAGGCACCCAAGCTTCCTTCATTTGTTGATGGCAAGGACGACTTGGATGCTTACCTACAACGATTTGAGAGATTCGCAACTACAGCTAAATGGGAGAAGACAGGATGGGCGTCGAAACTTAGCGCTCTTTTGTCTGGACGTGCCCTAGAGGTTTATTCGCGATTATCTGAGGAAGCAGCCCAAGATTATGATCGAGTGAAGTTAGCTTTGATGAAGAGATATAACCTTACAGAGGACGTCTATCGTCGTAAATTTAGAGCATCAAAGCCGGAAGTTGACGAGAGTCCGGAACAGTTTATAGTGAGACTGGATAGATACTTGTTACGTTGGTTAGAACTGTCGAACGCTGAACGATCTTTTGAAGGCCTGAAAGATTTATTTGTGAAAGAACAATTTATTGACTCTTGTTCAAAAGAGTTAGCTATTCACCCTCGTGAAAGAGCCCCGGAAACGCTTGTTCAGATAGCAAAGATTGCCGATCAATACTTAGAAGCACACGGAAAGCATCTGTTCAGCTCTGCGAGCAAGAAGCCACAAGTACAGCCCAAGGTGGAGGAAGCAAAGACTGCACAGAGTGACACAACAGCCCTCCAGTGTTACAAGCCGGTAATACCCGCGGACACAAAGCTAATTACTGCCCAACTCTAGCTAAAATGTGTTTCCTATGTGGCAAGCAGGGTCATGAAGCGAGGAACTGTCGATCAGGTGGACGAAAGTCAGGAGGCCAAGGAAAGGATGGTAACCCTGTGCAACGTGGTCAAGTTATTGTTGGCTGTTTGGTTAAGTCACCCGATCTTAACGCTACCCCCGAGGAAGTCAAGTCGTGTATTCAAAATGATCAGCTTCTGTTAGCCTGAGGCAAGAAAATCCTGTTGCTGAGTAATGCTTGTGCTGAACCCTTAACTGGAGTAAGAAGTAGGATGCCTGTTGTAAAGGGCAGAGTTAGAGAGAAGACTGTCGACGTTTTAAGAGATACTGGTTGCAGTGGAGTTGTCGTCAAGAAGGACCTTGTCGGCGAGGATCAGCTCACCGGAGACTTAAACGTTATGTTGCTTATTGACAACTTAGCAAGGAAAGTACCTATAGCAAGAATTTATGTTGATACGCCTTATGTTTAGGGCCATGTAGAAGCGCAGTGCCTTTCAGATCCTATCTACGACCTAATTACTGGCAACGTACCTGATGCCAGGGAAGCACAAAATCCAGACCCCCAGTTGGCAAGAGGCCTGTGCAGTAACTACGAGAAGTCAAGCTTAGAAAAAGGATGAACGCGTGGCCTTAAAGGTGCCTAGTAGCCTTGAGAGTCCTATCGTGGATAGAGAGAAGCTCAAGCAGATGCAGCGTGAAGATGAGAGTCTGCCCAAGTACTGGGATCGAGACGATGTGCTAGTAAAGGGTCAGGCGGAGATTTCATTTGAAGAAAAATTAATGTGGAGTACTGTACCGTCTGTACAAGCACCCTTATGTAAATGGTGGTAATCCGCTTAAACAAGTCATGGTACCTGAAAAGTTGGGACGCCCCATAATGGAAGTAGCTCACGGATCGATCATGGGCGGTCACATGAGCATCAAGAAAACAACAGACAAGATCCAGAGTGCGTTTTATTGGCCTGGCATTCAAGGTGACGTAACTCGATTTTGCAAGTCCTGTGACGTTTGGCAGAAGACTGTAAGTAAGGGATCAGTGCCGAAGGTACCGTTAGAGAAGATGCGGCTGATTGACAAGCCCTTTAAGAGAGTAGCAATAGATCTTGTTGGGCCTATCAGTCCTCCGAGTGAAGACGGACACAGGTACATATTGACACTGTTAGATTTTTTGACTCGCTACCCTGAGGCTGTACCACTAAAGAACATTGATACGGAGACTGTAGCAGAGGCATTGGTAGATATCTTCAGCCGTCTAGGTGTACCTGAAGAAATCCTGAGTGATCTGGGTACACAGTTTGTTTCTGATTGCATGAGAGAAGTCACCCGACAACTAAGCGTTAAATAGCTTACAACAATGCCCTATCACCCGATGTGTAACGGAGCCTGAAGTAAAGAACAGTTACCAGTACGTTTTCGAGTTGCGAGAGAAGTTAGAAGATACCCTTAAGCTCGCCCATAGTGAATTGGAGAAAGCTCAGCAGAAAGGAAAGCACTATTACGACCGCAAGTCTATAGTTAGGAAGTTTCAACCAGGTGAGAAAGTGCTTGTGCTGCTACCTACCGACCATAACAATTTACTTATGCAGTGGAAAGGTCCCTTTGAAGTTAGTTAAGTAGTAGGTCTCAATGACTACAAAGTGAAAGTAAAAGGCAAGGAGAAAGTTTACCACGCCAACCTACTTAAGTAGCTGTTGGAGCAGGCGCTACCAGTATAGACGATGCTGTCGACTGTGCAGCTACAGTTGATGAAGCAGAGGAAGAAGAGGCTGATTTCTCAGAGTTTGGTGGATATGTAGCCAAGGAGTCAATCAAGGATGTTACAACTGGACCAAACCTTACGGACGAGCAACGGACTGAATATACGGATCTGGCTAAACAGTTCACGAATTTGTTTACTGAAGCACCCGGTACCACAGATCTCGTTCAGCATCATATTAAACTCACCTCAGACAAGCCAGTTAGATCAAGACCTCACCGAGTACCTTACAGCATGAGAGAATCACTGAGAAAAGATATTGCCGACACAATCAAAATGGGAGTTATTAGAGAGTCCAGTTCTCCGTATGCGTCACCTGTTGTAGTAGTGAAGAAAAAAGACAACACAAACCGTGTGTGCGTTGATTATCGGAAATTAAATAAACTAATTGTATTTGATCCTGAGCCTATGCCAACTGCCGAACACTTGTTCCAGAAGCTTAGTGGAGACAAATTCTTTTCAAAAATTGACCTTAGCAAGGGATATTGGCAGATAACTATACCGCAGGAGGAAATACCGAAAACTGCGTTTGTAACACCTGACGGGTCGTACGAGTTCTTGAAGATGCCGTTTGGAATGATTAACTCGGCGGCAACACTGAAGCGTGCAATGAAGAAATTGATAGAAGATGTAGATGATGTCGACTTCTACTGGGATGATATATTGGTTCACACCCGTACTTGGGAAGAACATATTAGAGCCCGTAGAGAGCTGTTTTCGCGCCTTGTACAAGCTGGGTTGACTATTAGACCTACGAAGTGCCAATTCGGAGTAAACAGTGTGGATTTCCTAGGCCATCGATTGGAGCAAGGAATGATTGGTCTACATCAGGATAACGTGGAGAAAGTTAAAGATGCCCCAAGGCCAAGCACAAAGAAACAGGTGCGGTCACTTATGGGTCTAGCAGGATACTACTGAGATTTCATTCAGCGCCCTTATCTGATCTCACACGGAAAGGCCAACCCAATAAAGCTGGGTGGGATGAAGCACAAGAAAAAGCCTACCAAACAATAAAGTCTTACCTAACAAGTGAACCTATTCTACGCCTCCCCGATCCAGCTAAAACCTATTTCTTACGGACGGACGCTTCCAACAATAGAGAGTATTGATGCAAAGGCACGATGAGAAATTATTCCCGGTTTGTTTTGCAAGCAAGAAATTGTCAAGTGCGGAGCGCAACTATTCTACAATCGAGAAAGAATGCCTAGCGATTGTATGGGGAATCAAGAGATTTCATCTCTATTTGTACAGTGTACCTTTTGTGCTGCAGACAGACCACGAGCCGCTGAAGTACATGGACAGCGCAAAATATACCAACGCACGACTCTAGCGATGGGCGCTGTTTCTACAAAGTTACAATTTCAAGGTGGAAGCCATTAAAGGATCAGAGAATGTTGGAGTGGATTATCTTAGTCGAGTAGAAGAGTAACCTGAGAGACACCGGACTACCCCTGTTGTACATTAGCTAACAGTTTTTCCGTTGTATTGGAAATTTAGGAAATTTATTTCTGAAAGGGGGTTATGTTACGAAAAATTGTATTGCGTGACTAGCGTGACTTTCTAGAAGCTTCCCGAGAGTTCCTAGTTTGTTTATTTTAGGATCCTGTGTAAGCGTTTCTAAAACGGTATATTTTGTAATCTTTTTATAATTAGACTATTTGGAAAGTTCTTGAACGTTATCGTGAAAACATATAAGTAGGCTAGTCCGAGTCAAGTTTTAACCAAAATCGAAGGTCGCCAATCGTCTGAAGCCATCGACAGAACCTTGGTTTGAACTCCGCGTTACCGTTGAAAGATAGCGAGACGGCCTGAGACTCAAATTAGTCATACTCGGAGTGGGAGAAAGTCTCTTGCTCCCGTTGACTTCAATACCCGAGAAAGAAAACAACAATTTACCTTGAATCTCGGACTTAGATCCTCATAAAAACTTCGCTCACTCGGGTTTTCTTCTGAGCTCCCAGCCGCAAACAAAACAGTGAGGAATTTCTCCACGGGCAAATTTGTCAAATTTGTCGCTCGATCATTTGACTTTTCTTTAAAACGACGACTGAGTATTTTCTTCAACTTCCACTTTTCATTTGTACATTTTATCGGTGCATGTTAAACCGCACAGTCGAGCAGATTTGCTTAATATTTGCCTCAATTTTACCGCGCTAGCTTTTCTTTGCGAGCACCAACGGGCAAATGGTAGATGGCTAACTGACCAATCAGAGCACGCGCTTTACTTTTGTTATGTTATAAATAAACCTTGTATGCAGTAGTTTTTGTTTATTCTTAGGTATGCTTTCTGCCTTAAATACTTGAATTTTAGAGTTCTCGTTTTTCTTTTTTCTGCTACCAAGACGTACTCTTCTCCTCTCCTGGGCGACTTTGAGTGATTGATTTCCTTGTCTCAAACCCTTACAGAAAATATGCAAGATCTACGCGGAGCAAGCGTACTAACCCCTATCCCAAGACAATCAAGAGAATTACGGCAGCACGAACGAGATTTAGAGAGGCAGCTCAGAGAAATGCGGCAACGCGAAGAAAATTTGCAAAGACAGTTGAGGGAGTTACAGCAAAACTCGCAAAGACAGCAGCAACGCGAAGGAAACCTTCAAATGCAGCTGAGGGAGACACAGCAACGTGAAGAAAACTCACAAAGGCAGCTGAGAGAGATGCAGCAACGCGAAGGAAACCTTGAAAGGCAGTTGAGGGAGACACAGCAACGTGAAGAAAACTCACAAAGGCAGCTGAGAGAGGTGCAGCAACGCGAAGGAAACCTTGAAAGGCAGTTGAGGGAGACACAGCAACGCGAAGGAAACTCACAGAGGCAGTTGAGGGAGATGCAGCAAAACTCACAACGTCAGCTGAGGGAGACACAGCAACGTGAAGAAAACTTAGAAAGTCAGCTTAGGGAGATGTGGCAGCGATTTGAAAACTCCCAACAACGGGTTTCCACCTTAGAAAGACAGCTTAGAGACAAAGACCAGGAAGTAAATGAGCTTGTTTTAAGTCTTTCGTTAGCCCAGCAAACAATAAGTGAACAGCAACAACGGAAATCATGCGATTGGGTCATTTCCCGCGATGAAATTCAAATGACCAACAAATGCCTTGGCAGGGGAGGCTGGGGAAGTGTTTATGAAGGCGTGTATTGTGGCTGTACTGTAGCGGTAAAGCAAATTCATGATCTGATTCTTTCCCCTCATAACATACGTCTTTTTGAGAGAGAAATGAATATTGCATCCAAGTGCCGCCATCCTCACTTGCTTCAGTTTATCGGCGCCACTAATCATGAGGGAAACCCTCTGTTTGTGACGGAGCTGATGGAAAAAAGTCTGCGAGCTCTGTTAGAACAGCGGCAACTCTCCGAGATAGAAATATGTGCCATTCTTCTGGATGTAGCCCGAGCAATCAACTACCTTCATCAGAAGAAACCAGAGCCTATCATTCACCGGGATGTGAGCAGTGCTAATGTGTTGCTATGGCGACAGGGTGACAAGTGGAGGGCCAAAGTGTCAGATTATGGCACTGCTAATTTTATGCAGCAGACCATGACAGTGGCTCCTGGAGCTATGATTTACTGCACGCCTGAGGCACTTACATCAAAGCAAACGGTCAAGGTGAGTTTTCTTGAATTTAGGGCTTTTCTGATTCAATACTGTTTCATAAACACGTTTTAGATTTAGAAGAAACGCGTTGGTGCATTGATCTTGAGCGCGTAGGATTTTAAGGCCTGGTTGGTCGTTTACTCACACAAAAGAAACTGTACTACACTCTGTCCTACTTTACCTTGGTGTAAAATTGGAAACAGCAAATTGATGCTGATCTGTTTAGTTTTGTGTGAACCAGAATAACATTCTGTGCTCATTCTCCTGCTGCTTAATTCCCGGCCAAACAGTGGTAACGGTGATAGCTTTTACCTTCACCGTTTGACCTCAAACATTCATGGGTAATCTCGACTATTGATCGTTTTTCAGGAGTTTACACTGTAGGCAACGAAAACAAGCTGTAGACGTGTGGTTTTCTCATTAATTGTTCAGTTTTAAAATCGTACTGGAGACTTCTCATCCAAATCTAATAGAGTCAAACCTTTCCAAAACGACCGCCTTTGGGAGAGAGTAACGTCACCGCGTTGGAAAGTGGCCGTTAAGGGGTGGTAGGGTGTAAAGTGACACCATGGAGGGGGGGGCCGTTAATCTGTGTAAAGTTTATCCTACAGCTTACAGCTTAATAAGATCACAATCAGACTATAATACTTACGGTCAAACCAGTTCAAGCATAACCGCCCCCCCCCCCCAAGATTCGATTAATGAACTTATTATTCAAAAATTGAATCCGTTGGCTTTTTGTAGATTTCAGATTCATCTCTGCATTCCTGCATGCTTAATGAGCAGTTAATTCACACGGGGGTACATGCAGTTAATAGTTACTAGCAGTTCAGTTTTCTTGAATTGGTGTAAATGTCTTAAAATTAATTTTATCCATTTAAAGATTTTTCAATCTGACCGAATACAGAGAGGTTATCGTTAAAAATTCAGTCTAATTACGCATACCGGAATGCAGAATTGAATATGATACTGGTTGCGTAGTTACAAAAAGAGGGAATGATCTAAAATGACCTAAAAATGTGCTACAACGGTATCTAAAATAAATATTAAAAGATGTCTCAAATAACCTTAAAATTTTAAACTAATACAGGCAATAGGAATGTAATTTCGCTGACTGCGCATGTGGTTTCGAAAGAGCTCTTCTATTAAAATATGTTTGTAACATGTCTCCTGAAGAATGCAACAAAGTTACGTTGACACACAACACAACTGGATTAGCAAGACACGTAAGCCTCCTAGTCACGCGGTGCGGAGATGATGGCGCAATAAAATGCCAGTTTGCCTAACAAATCAGTTGCCATTAGATCTCACGGCGCACTTGTTCTACATCAATCAAACCTCCAAACGATCAGGTCCAATTTTAGCAGCTTACATATTCATGCCGAAATTTTACTTAGAGTCTGATCTCAGGTGTACTACATTCGACAGGTAAACTCAAGATTTTTGCGCCATCAGCTCTACTCCAATCAAACCTGCGTTGCGGGCGGACTTCTTTTCTTCGTGTCATCATCTCCGCAGCGCGTGACAAGAAGACTTACGTGACACACTAATCCTGCTCTTTGTCAACGTAAAGTTTACACTGAGTTGTTTATTAGGAAACCTTCAACAGTATAACTAAGAAGTAGGTGAGACCGAGAACTGTCCACAATGAGCATGAACTTTCAGGAAGTTACAATTGTTTCGAAACCACTTGCGAGGTCAGTAAAAAAAATTAAAAATTGAAAATGTGTGTATTGTTCATAGGTTGATGTTTATAGCTTTGGTGTTCTTCTTTGTGAAATGTGCGTCCGGGATCTTCCAGATCCTAGAAGGCGTGAACAGCAAGTTCTGCTCATGACGAACCATGTGTTGAGAGGCCTGGTACGGCGATGCCTGCAGACAGATCCTGAAGCGAGACCAACCATGCAGAGGATAATCGATGAACTATCAAGATCTGTGTAACGTCCGTCAAGTATTTTGTTAGAATTTTGTAAAAACTGTCGCAGTTGATAGAGTTGAATCGCTAGAAATCTTTTGTGCGGAATTCGTGTGTAATCGTTTATCGTGACAACGTAGTTTTCACAAGTGTTGCTAGAAAACAAATTACTCAGGTTGAAAACAGGTTTACAACTTATTTGCTTTTAATTTATTTTGTAAAAGGGATGTTCTTTTCTTCTATTACACTCAGGGAAGTGAGGCTTTTTCACGTGATAGATCAAAGAGAAAGCGAGGTCGTCTACTTTTCGTAACGTTTTAGTAATGGTGCCCAAAAGCCGTATATATTTCTCATTTACCGTCGTGGGAAATGGATTTCGTTAACCAGTATGTTTTGTTTTCCCAATGAATTTGGCCTTTTGTCTTTCATAAAGTATGCGTACATATGCACCTGAATAAGACGAAATTCGAAAGAATAAGTTTTGTGGATTATTGGGTGTGGTCAAAGAATTACTCATTACCGTTCCCGAGTTAAGTTCTATGGGTTAAAAAAAACAAAGCGGCTCAACCAATCATGAAAAAGTGAAATGCACCAAATAGTAGAAGCACGTGTTGTTTACGTGCTGAGTTGTTTGTGCCAAATCCTGCGACCGCACTTACTGTCACATAACCTACATTGAGAAAACAAAGCTTACAAGCGAAAGAGGTTTATAGCAAATGCTTTCTTGGGATTAACCTTGTTAATAGAGGTCAGGCTTGGCTGAAGATCGCTGAGACGTCAGGCTATATCCTTAGCCTAATTTATATATACAGTATATGATCGTTATATCAGGAGTTTTTTCTTTTTGTAAAGACAACTGAACATTTGACTAATGACCATGAAAAAGTTGTATTCCTTCATAAGCAAATCGGTTACTTTTAAGTGTGTTAGTTTAATTCAGAAATAACTTTCTTCTGAAGAAGGTCATGCGCACGAAGCAGAAAAAATTGATCCAAAATGTCGCGAAAATTGTGACAAATTTGAGGATGTTACACTGAATTAAATACGAGTAGTAGTTCGGTAGACATTTGTAGTTAGAGTTTGCTATGCCAGTAGTAGGTAACTTACTCATAAAGCAGGGTTTACTTTAATTCCTATGTTACATACACAATGTACATATGACGTGAAATGGACAAAAAATTCAATTGGCTGAGCCGTTAAAGCTGTCGCATAGTAAAGCCCATTAGGTATTTTTAATCAAAGATTCCCACCCAAAAGGTACCTTACCTTTAAAATAGAATTTTTTCTTAATTCATAGTTACTTACTTATTAACCTGGTCACACGCGTGAAATAGGCAATGTTACTGAAATAGACATTATTGAGTGAAGGCACAAGTATATATATAATGGCTTTTGAAACGTGTTAGGATATACAATTAAACATGCGTATCAGTAAGCAATTGTAATAAGAGTTTCCTATCCAATAGGTTATTTTAAAAAAGTCGATTGCAAATCAATTCAGATATGACTTACACGTAGAATAGACAATATTAATTAAAGAAAACGAGTAGATTGGTCACTTATATGATATACTATAAGTGTTTCGTATTCAACAGATAACTCGACTTATATAATAGGATTTTACCCAAGTTCATGTTACTCATATAAAGTGGGTCATACATTTGAAATAGACAATATCGAATAAAAGTAACGAGCACGACTATAGTAGTTATCTCGCTTATTGCAAGTCTTAAGGGATATTCAATAAATATACAACTGTGGCGGCTTTTGAAGCAGAGGCAGAGGCGATTTGTCTCTTGTTGAGACTGGACTCGGTTATGTTTCTTGTCTCGCTGCCGCAATGCATTTACGGCCAATAATTCAAACGAAAACAGTATGTACAGCTCCGCACAGCTGCTAAACACATCGTTTACGCTTTGTTAGTCGCCATGCATTTCTTGGAAATTGAAGGGTGTGAGTCAGCTGATTTATATCAAGACACTTGAAATTAAACCAGAGCATTCAGTTTGGAGGTGAACCAAGCGCTAGGAGCTTAGAAGTTTCTATCTATCCACAGTGCCGACTGCAGTTTTAATAGAGAAAGGTACATTTTCATCGTGTTTGTTAAAAAAAAGAATGCCGTGTGGCTTTAGATTTGACGAAAGTGATCAAGTTTTATGCACCTATCAATGTTATGCCGCGAGGAGGGGGCGGGGGGAGGCAGGGCATGGGGTGGGGATTTGATTGTCTTTGTTGGCCCCGGGGTAGGGCATTTGACTAATCTTGTTCTCCCACGGGAGGGGATTTTTGAATCTCTCTTCGCCCGACGTGGAGATATTTGACTGCCGACTCGGACGAAAACGACTGAGACCGAACATATGTTTCTCCCCACCACGCCTCACGCATGCGCCGTACCGTCTGGAAAGATCTGGAAATCATGGAGGCCAACGGGAACAAGCGAAAGCTGAGTGGATTTCACTGTTTTGTCCTCAAATTTCGTTTTTTTAGCGTGTTTTTGATCAATTGAACCTCTGAAGATTCTGTGATATCAAAGTAAACGGAAGTAAAGAGAAACAAAGTCAATTCTTGCAAGTACAGTTGATCAGTGTACGGCTTATTCGCTACAATCACTGCATAAAGCTTGTAAAACTGACTTTCTTTGTACCCTTAATTTACTAAGAATGGTATATTTACAAAACTTACAAAATGTGGACTTTCTCCTGAAAGGTTTCTGTATTCTACGCAGTGTAACACGGATTATGGTTAAAACGTATAATTGCAGCTGTAACAGGAACATGCATGTATCTTTGGTGATGCAGCAACGTTTATAAATAAAGATTGCAGAGTTTTATTTGGAAATATTTTCATTGTGCCTTTCTTGGGTTCTGCCTCGGGATATTTGATAGCAATGTGCAGCCCGGGAAGGGGAAATTTGGTTGCATTTGACTGGAATGATTTGCCCGTGGGCAGGGAATTTGACGACAAATTTTGGAAAAATGTCACATCTCCACCCCATTTCCTGCCTCCCCCCCCCCCGCGGCCTTGCATTGATAGGTGCATTATTTAAAAGAAGTATGCTGCCCTGTTTTGGCTCTACGAATCATAAAGGTGAAATTGCTTCTCTTCAAGGCCTTCAAGAGTATGGAAAATCATGGAAAGAGAGCTTCACACGTGAGAATTCTTTTGCAAATTAAATGTACCGAACATTTAAACTTACGTTTGTTCCAGTGAATGGCGCTTGGTTTAGCTTGAAATGGAGAGCTCAAGAGTCGAAAAAAAAGGGAAATGCTGAAAATGGTAGGAGTATTTTACTGACAAAACCAACTAAACGATGTTTAGCAAGTTAACCCAATCGGTTAAGAATTCGCGCCATGTAAAGGTATCCGGATTCCGGAATCCACGAATTTTTTGCCTGTGGATTCCGGAATCCGAGAAAATTTTGTTTGTGAAATCTGGAATCTTGGGCTTTGGAATCTGAAATATAGAGCTAAAGGAATCCAGAATCCCATTAACGATTGAAATGCAGAATCCAAGTTCCACTGACAAATACTGGAATCCAGAATCCAAAACTGTCTTGGAGTCCCTTACAAGGCGATGGGACTTTACTGACACTGTTTGTTTGGCCCGGGTCAAATGCCGTACTTCACATCAGTTTAACCTAATGCTTATGAAAAAAGTGTATTCTGACAGCGCTAGAGTAGTAGAAACTGGAATTATCATAAGTAAATACGGTGCTGAGCGTTTCGTTTCGGACTCGTTTGTGAAAATTAGCTAAAATTAGTGGTTGATGAAATGCCTAAGAAAGCTTTTAACCTGACAGCAGCAGGGAGAAGGTATAGGCTTGGTTGCCACGCTACAAGAATAATCAATGGTTCCTAGAATGTATCCACTTACGTTGTAAGCTTTCATTTTAAACCGGTAAGTGAGTTTCTGGGAATCCTTTAGATTACATTTAATATAATACGCCAACAAAGGTGATATAACTGATATAAACTAAATATATCTTTATATCTCCGTCACTGTACCTGTAATTAAGTACAAACTATGGCGAATCCGCCGGAATGCACTGAATAAGGAAAAATTACTTGCTAACTTGGGGGAAAGAAATCATTCTACTGAGCTGTGAAAACTGCACGAGAGTAGTATAGCTATAAAGACTGTAGAATCTCTACCCACAACACAGGGACGCAACAGAATACCTTAGGGTACTCAAGGGTCTTTAAAGGCCTGGGCCAAAATTACGTTCGATTTTCGGAACAAATATAATAATAATAATAATAATAATAATAATGACTTTATTTATATAGCGCTCATATCCAGAGGTCATGGCGCTTTGTAAAAAAGGGGAGAAAATGCATGAAAAAAATTTACATATCATAAGCATGGAATAAAAAATATTAAAAATCTATTTACAATCCATATATTACACGTCTTAAAATCATTTTACAAAAACAATGACCCACTCTCTAAAAATTGAATAAAAAGATATGTTTTTAATCCTTTCTCAAAACCAGTGAAAGATGGTAGCGAATTCCACAGTTTAGGGGCACACACTGAGAAAGCCTTGTCCCCGTAAGTTTTCGTGAATGATCGAGGTTGTTCTGACAGCTGCTGAGATGCGGACCGCAAGTTCTAGGGAATGCGATTGATAACTAAGTCTGTCCGCCAGATAGCTAGGTGAAAGGTTATTAAGTGATTTGAAAACTAGTAAAAGAATTATAAAAACAATACGATAACTAACAGGGAGCCAGTGAAGGTCAAATAAAACAGGCGTAATGTGATCAAATTTACGAGTCTGAGTAACGCACGTACGATTCTGGCGGCAGTGTTCTGAACATATTGAAGCTTCTTGAACTGCATTTTCCTACAACCGTAGAGCAAGGAATTGCAATAGTCTAGTTTAGATGTTATAGAAGCATGCACAGCAATTTTGCAAGACTACTTTGTGAGATATTTTCTTATCTTTGATAAGTTCCTAACCTAGCAAAACGATGGTCTGCAAATGTCTGGGACGTAAGGGGCGGATCTAGGGGGAGGGTGCAGGGGG